CCTCTTTTAAAAGTCGAGGAGGGACAGCATCATTTGGAGACCCTGCAGGCTTAAGATGACCAACAGTCTCCTTTAAAAAGGACAGAGTCACAGGCTCAAACCTGTCAAAGACAGCAGAGCAGGAAGCAGAGACTGAGAGGTCGTGAGCATGAGAAGAGATTTGAGCCCTTGTGGAGGAGACCTTCTCGATAAAAAAGTCTCATTAAAGGATCACATCGACTGTTTTTGACCTGATGTAGCAACACCACCCCTTCTTTCTTTGATCTCTCCATCCTCACTCCTTTACTTCCATCTATTTCTGAGTCCTGCCTGCATCGCTCTTAGCTGCCATCAAATCCTCCCAGGTGGAGGTTTCTTATTAGACTCTTATAGCCTCTCTGGGCTCCAGACCAATAAATCATTCACAGCCCCCATGGCCACACTGGCCCCCATATGCACCTGAATAACAATATGTGCACACAGCCTCTGCTCAGATGTGCACCCCAGAGCACACGGTGTGCAAACACCAAGCTCTTTAAACGTCGCTGTGCAGAGTTTCACAAAGTCACGAATGAGCCAGTGAAACGATCCCAGCTCAGGAAGCTCAGGCCTGCCCACTTATCCCACTGCCACTCTGATTACTGCGTGTCCACTGATGCCCTCACTCGGGCTATTCTCCCGCCCTGTAAAGAGTAGCTGTCATTACTTTCTCAACACCTCCCCGTGCTGCGGTTCAAGACAACACAAACGGCTCTCACACCGAACCAAACCGTGCCTCAGCTATTACACAGCGGAGCTTGTGCTTGCAGTGATGTAGCACTTCTGCTGAAGAGGCCTCTGATGTGGAATAAATATAGAAAACAAGGCCAATGAGACGTGTGAGCCAAAGAGGCAAACACTGTCCAAGACTGTGGACGCACTTTTTCTCTGCTCACTGTTTCTGAGTGCAAAACAACTTCCCATAACTTGGCTCCTTCCCTCTTGGATTACACCCACACAGAGACGCGCCTGTTTCACTCCTAGCTTAGAGTAGATGACAGGAGGCAGTTACAGCTCCTTTCACCTATCAGCTGCATTGCCTATGATAGGATCAGACATCAGGACTTTTTAAACAGAGACCTGATCCAGACTTGCTGGTTCCACTGGATTCTGAAAAAGGACTTTTGTCCAGGCTCGCACACACGTCAGCTCTCTATACTGGGCCTCCCAGTACTCGGGTCTACTTTCTTGTAAGGTGTAATAATCATAAAGCCAGGTCAGGTCCAGGTCTTATGTGTCTAATCTAACACTAAACAATGTGGGAGAATCCAGCCCGGTATCTGATCCAGGACCAGTACGGTCCGCTCAGCAGCACACACGGCGCTCTACAGCAGTAAGACCAGTCCAGCCTTTGTTCCACTGCTCAGTGGAGCCGAGAAGAATCCACAGAAGACGTGTTACATTGACGAGTGGGAGAAGTTTCATCTCCAAAGCTATGAGAGAGGTGGAGTCAGCGTTCTACCTGCAGGATGTGGCACCATGAAGTCAAAGAGCTGACGTAAGCACAGAGGGGACTGCAGGCAGAGCTGCTGCCCTCTGCTGGAGCACAGAGGAGCTGGGGGCGTGTCTGGGTGGAGGCTGCAGGGCTACAACCAACTGAGTGAGTGCTGTAAGAGCTTTCTGCTCCACCAGCGTCTCTGCTTCAGCCATCTGCAATAATATCTCCGTGCTCTTCACTCAGTGTACACAAGCATGCACTCAGTCAGCATGCACTCTTGGGCAAACACCACACACATTTTAATGACTCCAGATGTGAAAATGAATGGAAGTCTGTCATCAGTACAGTCAGACTCATGTAGGTACAAATGGACTCTGAGCCTCAGCTGCTGAGCACACACTGCAACAGCAGCAGCTCAGGCTGCTCTCACACTCACCTGAACACACAACGCTCTTCCATACAAACCAAAGTCAGGTGCTGCGTCTAAGCTTCTCGGGTGAGCTCACCTTCTCGTAGTACTCCACGTTCTTCTCTGCAGCAGAGATGAAGGCTGATCTGAGGTCAGTCTTCATGCTGTGCTGCCAGCGGACCCAGTCTCCCTTCAGGCTGTTGTTGGCCTGCTCCATCCGATCTGCCAGGACATCCACCTCCTCCTGAAGCTGCCGCCAAACACACGTTATGCTTATTGACATATTACTGTTCATTATGGAAGCACGACACCCTGATGTATCCCTGTGCTCCTCCCACAGCACGCCTCTGTGCTAACACAACAGCACCTACTACACTTACCTATGCAGGTACATGCACTTGTACCTGTGTACGTGTGTGCACGCACACACACACACACACACACACACACACACACAAACGTAGAAAATGAAGCAGTTACAGCACAACTTCATGTCACTGTGAAATTATATTTAGGTGCGTTACTGTGGGAGCAGAGTGCATGCTGGGAGTTTTCCTGCCACAGACACTCACCTCTCAGTGAAGCACATGAAAGCCAGAGGTCAGTGTGTGCGCTTCACTTAGACAACAGTGCCCCCTCCTGGCCACAGTACGTA